TACAACTACAGCGCTGCTTCATGTTATAACGTGCCGAAATCTCAGGGTTAATAAATGATAAAAGTACTAACTAACGGTGCTGGGTGATATTATGTGTACCTACGCTAGCTATTTCCAATTTAATTGAATAAATAAAAAATATATACCTACCTATATCTATATAGGTATAAAACAAGGAGACAATCCCTTTTTAAGGTTTTAAGGCTAATTAATTAGACTTAAAATATATTGGCGATATGTCGTATTCCACCCTTCGAGCGAGTTTCAGGATTTCAGAACACTCAGTATATTCCTAGAAGTCATCTTGTACCTACGGATATGCCTGAGACCGTTGAATTGGGAAGGAGGACAGAACAGTCAAATTCGCCTACCTTTCCAATCCAAACCGAAAACCCGCCATGGTTTCAAAATTAATCGTCGTCGGCCGGGTAAATCAAAAAAGCCTCCACGGTTCATTTCAGACATCGAACTCGATACCGCCCGAGAGCGATTTCCGCGACTCCGCATCCTAGTGCGGAGCGATAGCGCCTCCGAAGTCTAAAGACCAATTTCACCGACGTCTCCAATGTCACCCACATCGCGACCGATCTCGCCTGGGTCTGCTATCCCGGCGCTCATATCTACTGCAGCGACTCTAGCAACCTGCAGACGAACCCCGGCGCGCTTCAGGGCGATATTTGGAAACAACCGTATGCATGTGTATGTGTGTATACATATCAGACACAAAGTTACAATTGTGTATCTAATTTTCACAGTTATCAAAATATTTAGGTCTTACAAATTAACGCCTATACATATTCTTTGGAAAATTCCTAAATCCTGTTGTAATTTTACGTTTCTTTCAAGGGTCAGTGGTGATAAAGGTTGAATTTAACGAATTTTTTAAATTATCTTAATAATCTTTACTTATCTCTAACATCAATTATGTGGGTTTGCAGAAGAAACAGACCCACAGACAAGTCAACTCAACTAATTATTTTTGAAAATATAATGTAAACTCGACAAACGCTTATCAAACTGTATAAGAAGAGAAGGATATAATGTTTCGGGATGAATTAATAATTATCGGGTTATTTAAATGGCATGAGTATTTATGAAAGGAAAGAACACCTTTAGATGAAAATTCCAAAAACAGACCAAGGTTTTACATATGTTGATATATAATAAGAACGGCAATTTTAGGACAAAAAGACAAATATGTGAATCCATTTAAACATTACTTACTATATCTTAAAAAATAATCAAAAGAGAAATATCTAGGAGTGATGATGGATGATGAGCTTACCAGGAATGCCCATTTGGAAGAAGTGGTACGTAAGGTTGTATACATCGATAGTAAGACCTAGGATATTTTATGGCGCAGTAGTATGGTGACAAAAAACACGACAGACCATATCGACGGAAAAACTGAAGAAAAATCCAGAAATTGGCCTGTTTATGTATAATGGGCGCGATGTATCGACCCCAATAGCTGCACTAGAAGTCATCTACCACCACTTCATGTAGTGGTGGAATGAGAAGCGTGGTTAGCAGCATACTGGCTCAGGAACAATAACAACTGGAGAGACAGTTCCTATTCCAGGATTATGGAAACGTCTATGTCAGAACCAACTCTGGGAGGGACGGTAAACGACATGATCGATACCTTGGAAATATGGAGCCCGGTATGGTTTACGGACGGATCCAGGAGAACGGTGCAAAAATACGCGGACTCATACCCAAATGGAGTGTAAGCTACAGTTTGGAGAGCTCTCCCACTATATTTCAAGCAGAAATCTTCGCGATAATGGCGTGTTTAGCTGAGAATGTAAAGGTTATAAACAGAAACTCATATATATTCTCTGACAGTCAAACAGCAATTAAGGCTTTCTTTAGATACACACAAAGTAAGTTCAAAACTTGTATGGAAATGTTTATAAATGCTGTCTAAACTGGTTATCATTAATACAGTTAGATTCTGTTGCGCATTGGCGGAAATGAGAAAGCGGATGAACTTGCTAGGAAGGGATCCGAAACAGAGTTCATTGGTCTGGCGCCTTTCTGTGGCACATCTCCCAGTATGGTCACGGGGGTTCTGGGCAAATGGACTGAATCAGGACATACGAAATATTGGACTTCAAGGCTAGGGCAAAGCCATGCGAAGGAATTTATGGAATACCCTTTGCAGAAAGGAATGAATGAGTTGTTGGACTTGAATAAAATTCGGCTCAGAAAAGTGACAAGACTTATATTGGGGCACTGTCACTTTAGGAAACATCTACATAGGTTTGTAGACAGTTCGGTCTGCCGGGGATGTGATTCTGCGGATGAAACTTATCTGCATATCCTGGAACGCAAGGAGCTGAGAAAAGTGTCGGCTAGGAAGTACTATTACGTGTTTTCAATATAGACACAAAGAGAGAAATCTCTTGTAACCTAAATCTGTATGTCCCAGGTCATGAGTCTACAGTAGCTTGCATTCTGCTGAAGTGCTGGCTCCTGGTCAAGTGATTACAACAAAAACAAAACTACAGCTCAGTTCCTCTTTCATGGTTATACATTTTCGTACATCCAGGGTTATGGGGAAGCCTGCCAACTCTCAGTGATGTAGTTTCGAATCCCTGACATAAGACAGCCATGTTCCCAGAGAGCTTCGTAGTTATACATCTTCACAAATGCTGGGTTAAGACGTTGTTACGAGGTTCTAGAGTTAGGGAAGCCAATCACATAATTTTGGAATCTCGGCCGAACCTCAAAACCACACTGGAGTATCCCTAGGTGGTTATCATAACCAAATTCGAGCCGAATCGTGCGACTACTAACGGCCAGCTAATCCATAATAAGATTCCACGTTTTCCTAGCTGCCGCCGGAAGTGTCCGCGCGATCTCGGCCGAACCCTCCAACCACGGTGCTACTTCGTGCCGTGCATCACCAGTCCGACCAGTCCACTTCTGAACTAGATCCATGCAGTACAAAGACCTCCGTAAGCCCTTTTACGAAGACGGAGAAAATTTCATACTTTCCAATTTCCCCGTCTTTGGGCCGAAAGGACCGTCTTCCGAAGGTCCCACCACTCTGGCGGTTGGATGCAATAATCGGTAGCCTAAGCCGAGACCGAGAGTAGAGTTTTCTCAAAATGGGAGAAAACTCCAAAATCCCCGATGCCGACATCAACTATCCGGAGAGGCCAGAGGGGAACGAGATCCGACGGCGACGACGGCGACGGGTGCTTTTTGCTGGAGATTTTAGCGGACGATTCAAGAGCGTTCCGCCAAAAGTATGGAGATCTGAAGAAAGCGATCGAACGTCGACTTCCGACATCTGCAGTTCATTAGTGGAAGTGCATAGCGCGTGAATGAACAACAAAACAATATTGTAACAAATATCGCTTCACGAGAAATTCCACCCGAGGTAGCCTGACCTGAGGTGAAGACCCTGTTCGATAGCCCCCTGCATCGAAACAGCGGTAAATTCCAGGCTCCTCTAGAGACCTGCCGTTGACACCGGCGATACAGTACAATCAGCATTTCTACGAAATGGTACTCAGCGGGAGCAATGCGCATCTCGTTCGGGTGCCATCCCATGCGAAAACCCCTTAGCCGACTATGTCGTAGGTGACGTGGCCGGCTCTTTTCACCCATACTCCGCGGTCAAAATTATAGAGAGTGACTCAGACATAATATAAAAACACTATTACCATAACGCGTATAAAATATAAAATGATTTTTATACGGTTCAATACTATTTATCTTTGTGCCGCTCGCTACGCTACGCACATCGATATATACATATACTGAACGTCGATTTATATATAGCATAAGCGTAGACGAGAGATCTAATTCCATGGCTATAATAAATTTAAAAATTTAAAAATTAAAAAAACACAACTGGGGCGTTTTAAAATGCTGTAATAATTAAAATGGATCAAAGTGCCGGTTCTAGAAAACCGTAAAAAATATTAGATGCTATGTTTTATTATCTTTTTTCAATATTTTCTATATCTTGTTGCCTTTTACGCAGACACGCCAATGGATTTTCGTTCCCGACACGCCTCATCCCCCTTACTAGTCCAAAAGCTAGCGATGAGTCACTCTCTATAGTTTCGACCGCGGAGTATAAATAATTCTGATACATCGCCCGTCCACTCTCATGACTTCCCCCGAACATTCGATCACCGCCTAAGTGGTCCATATGTAGAAAGTCTAACCCGACACGACGCTCGACGTGGGGCTCGAACATCATCGTCTAGATCTCCCCCACGACCTCGTGTCCTAGATACCACGTGTGTAGGCCATATCCACCACAGACCACAGTCGTTTGAGAACATAGCGCGACCTGGCGTCCGAAGTGGAGCTCAATTTGAACTTCTTTTGTCTCCACCGCGAACCCATGTTGAGGAAACCAGTCCAAATGACCATATTACACGACATGGCGCTCGACGTGGGGCTCGAAGCTCTGCTTCGATGTCTCCGCGGCGAGCCCAGGTTACCGAGCCACTCCAAAATTCTCAATTATTAGGCAATTCAGGTCATAGTTCACGACAGATACGATAATATGATAGAAACAATTTTAAAAATTAAAAAAATTGAAAATTTTACTGCGCCTATGAACGGTGAACTAATAAATTAGGTGATTTCTTTCACTGTCCGAATCGCTATTCAATATTGAAATAGGCAACTCAAAATATTCATAGCTGTAACTCTACAAGGATTCATTTTAGAGAAAAAAGTGCAGGAATAAAAAGTTTTTATTTCGACCCTATTAATGTGTAGTTTAATTTCAAAATCTTAACTATTTTATCGAGATTTCCATTATATTCAAGTATATGATTTTTTTGTACCTGTAGTTTTAGTTCTGCAAATCTAGAATCAACAATAAATTTAATTAAAATCTCCTCAATACAGTTAAAACACTTTTAACATAATAATTCCAGTAGGGTTTTTATTAATTTTCGCATGTATGTTAAAAAATATATAGATATGTTTATTTAATATTTATTTAAATCAGGAATATAATATAATCAGGAGTAAAGAAAGAGTGAATTCTTGATAATGATGAACGTGCTGATTAAATCTTTGTCTGGATCAACAAGGGCCTCGGAAGTTCAATTGCACATCTGAAAAATATACATAAGCTTCATCCAAATTTTGAAAGCAATAGTGAAACAAATAACAGTAAATTCTCGTTATATCGAAAACAATTTAATAGTTCTATAATAAATGGAGTATACATAAAATAATAAAATTTAATCCAATAAACGCGTTACAAATAAAATAATTTAATTTGCGGTAACAATATTTCTATCAGTATTCTAAAGAATTTTATTTTTTTGATGTTAAAGCTAGGAACCTTTAACTTTTCACGTTAGATCAATTCCAGGCAAGGCTCTTAATTATGATTATCTAGAGACTACATTTTCGTGTATAAAATAAAATATATTACGTAAACAATATCCGCCATGTAGAAAACGCAAAGATATAGCAAATTGACTTATTGAAGTTAGCTTAATTTTTAAAATAATATATTATTATGCTATTATCTACCTAGGGGTGACCACATCATTGCTAAGTGTTCAGTTCAGTTGGAAAAATACTTCTTTTGTAATAAAAATAGTTATTTTCTATTTACTGACTTATTGACTACCAAAAAACGTACTTAAAATGTGCGTGTAGTACTTAGTTCATGTGTTTATTCTTTTATTGACAACTAAAAAATAATATTTAGAATGTATTTTTATCCTTTTCATTTCAGCATTAAAATTTGGTCCCTGCTGTTAAAATTATCATGCGTAACTACGGGTTTTCCAGTTTGAGTGAATCAGTCTGTAGCTAGCCACAGGAAGGACTAAAAAAATATTGGGATTTTTCTTAATAAACCACACTCTTTTATCATTTTAGCTGTACGAAACGGAATGTCGAAATCTTAATTTTGCTAATCTGTTTATATTATTATGAATAAGCTGCTTAGAAAAATGTATGTTGTTACAAAGAGATTGCATAATTTAGTCATACATAGGCAACTAAATTTATATAATGCAGAGGCCTGTATGTAAAATGTCTCAAACTTTCTGGGACGCCCTTTAAATAACACAGCCACAAAAAAATCAAAACCCAAGAGCACCACATATCATTTCCAGAAATCGATGCGCTGAACACGATCCTGTAGTCAAAATTCATGACTTCACTACAAATTTCAGTGAAAAGTGAATTTTTTGGTTAAAACTGGTCCAAATATGGGTCAAAACTGATATTTTTCCTATTTTTGACTGAAGTCTACGAAAATGATATACAGGGTGTCCCAGAATAACGTGTACAACGAAAGACCACAGACCCGTGACTCAAAATAGCAGATTTAGACTAATTCACCTATATCCAAAATAGCTTCGTTTGGCCGCTAGATGGCCTCAAAGTTTTATAGTCACTGATTTTGTAGATTGACTGTAATTTCAGTTTGATCAGTCATTGTACCCGCCAATTCTTAATGAGTGTTTACTACGATATGATATACCACGTGTTACTTCATTTTTTGATATGGATACACACATACGACGAATTAAGAGTTATTTACAATGTGCCTAATTTATTGAAATAATTCGTAAAAACAATGAAATAGTATAAAAAATTCTGGAGATAAAAGTAACAAAGTTGATGTTATAAATTTTAGTACAACTTATTATAAAAACTGTTCAAAGTGACCACCATTGTTTTTACAAAAGTTAATTCGGTGAAGAAAGTTAAATGACACCCTTTGCAGTTCTTAAGTTTTAAAACATCTATGGTATATTGAATATGTCACCACAACTCTTCTTCAGTGTTAGATGTGGAAGCATGCATTGTTTGTTTTCACACTGCCGCAAAGATAATAATCGGAAGGTGTTAAGTCTGGTGACCGTATAGGCCGGTTAACAGAAACATTATCCCTCTACCGATCCATCGACGAGGGAATCTTTGGTTCAGATACTGCCGGACATTTACAGTGAATTGTGGTGGAGCGCCATCATGCATAAACCACATATTAGCTCTGACTAATATCGGCACATCTTTCAGTAACTCGGGTTTTGAAAAAATTCTAAATAAATTTCCCCATTCAGTCTATTGGGTAGAATAACAGGGCTAATAATAATGCTATCAATGACCCCAAACCAAATATTGATGTGACATTCATGCTGATAATGTTTCACTTTGATAGCATGTGGATTTTCTTGAGCATAGACATGTTCATTGTGAATATTTATTATTCCGCTTCTAATAAAACAGAATTGGCAAGTACAATGATTTAAACTGAAATTACAGTCAACCTACAAAATCAGAGCCTACTGGCACTTTCTTAAGTATTGTAGTAGGTATGGGTGGCAAGTAATGTATACATTTAAAAAATATTTTTTTGTACCCAAACCGTTCATTTAATTAAAATTTTGACTATAGTAGATATCGTGTTCAGTGCATCAAATTCCTTTTTTGTGTGGCTGTATAATCTACCCATCACTGTCTAGAAATTAGATAGATTACTTTAGATTTAGTTTTAATATGCGATAATACATATTTGATTTCCCACAAAAAAATATGCTGAAGGTAAATTAAATTGACCAATATGAAAGTTTTGCTAAGATAATCTGTATTACAAAATTTTTTTATTGTGTTGCAATGTCTTATGTGCTACAAAGTATATTAAAAATTATATAACACGTTATTACTACCTTAAGTCGACATTTTGCTAAAGCAAAAAAAAAGATTAAAGATTAATTGCGTGAAAAAGTATAGTATTCATTAGTTTTCAACATTAAGTATAATCTTTTATAATACAATTATACATAGGTATCTTGTTTCATACTTTTTAAATTGAATAATATTACTGATATTACTATATAAAAATAGTTACCGGTGATGAAAATGAAAATTACAGTAGCTATTTTTTTAATTATACTAGATTTCTTTAGCAAAATAGTTTTTATTGCGATAGTAGCATAATTTTTCAGGAGCTTTTTTGAATATTTATTACTAGAGTTAATCAATCTCTACTTATAACTAAAATATATTTCTCTCAGTGTAATAACGTTTAGGTACACTAAATTTTATTTTCTAATATGCTGGTACCATGTTATTAAGCAGATTTTAATGGACAATGTGAGTACTAAAATGATCTTAATGATTTTATATTTTGTACTTACTGCGATCACACGAAGTTGCGCAGTACAATTGGCCAATGTTAGAGTAAGTTACTCCATCGGTACCACAGACAGGATCAAACTGAGATGTCCAAACACAATTGTTTAAACATTTTGTAAAAGCTGGTGAATGTGTGGTAGTTTGAGTTGCTTGTCGAATTACTCTTGTAGGATTGCACGAGATTCTCACAATTAGAGTAACTGAAAGAAAAAGAAATGAAAAAAATTTGCTCATTCCTATAGTGGGATCGTATTAGATGCAAAGTAGAGCAAAAAATTGTCGGTCTTTTATCAAAGGAAAATCAAATCGAATGTAAAATCTGAAATACCGCATCATACATACGCATTTTGTTCTGGTAGTAGCTGTAGTCGCCCAGGTGCATCGAGTGTACGAAGTGGTCGGTTATACGTCAAATATTAACCTGACGAGCTTGGTCGTAAATCAGAGACCGCCTCCAAAAAACAAGTAAACAACAGTGTCGCGTACAGAGGTAAAATATAGTACACATGTGGAATTTAAAAAACAAATTGGATTTATAATAAATATTACATTTAAAATAAATGGTTTATGAGAATGAAGGAATTTTTGTAGGAACAAATTATTCAATTTCTAAACCCCTTAAAACCGTACTGCACTGGATCCCTTGGCAGGCAATGATTTATTACTTTGCATCGAATATGATCTTACTATAGGCCACGGCATTTCATCTTTTTATATAAAATTTAACCTAATGGATCGGCAGGATGTTTCAGAACAACGTAACCACATATTTAATATAGAGTTAAAATAATATTAAAAAATAGGTAGATTTTTGTCTGTTGAGTGTGGCGTCTATTGTCTTCTATTTTCAAGATATAGACATTAAAATATCTTTTTTACTATTAGTCATGTTTTGAGAGAACCAAAATAGTCTGATTTGATTAATTTATATAGAGTTCCGGACGGTATTATACGTCAGAGCTTTTTTGAAATTAAGAATTTGATTTCTTATGAATAATAAACAAATGGTTAAAAAATTGAAAATGTGTTTTCCTATCTACTGTAGGTTTATTTTCTATTTTCAGGATATAAAGTTAAAATTATTATTTTTAATGAATTTTGCCAATGTCGCCAAGTCATCAATATAATATCTAAATCGGTAGATCCTAGAGCCCTAATACTCTAATTTATAAAAAAATAATACATGGTGTTTGTTACATTGCAATTTTAGAATATTTATTCAGAACTTTTTTGTGATTACCAATTCAGATTTATTAGCTAAGTACGACTTTCTGTCCCTAACCTTGTAAAGTATTTACAAATTTTTATTACTCAAGCAGAAGGTATACGAAATAAAAAATTGGTAAATTATAAAAAAAATATTATTTAATAATAAATAAAAAAAAACAGTGTAAAAATTAAACTCACCTCCACTTTTGACACATTTTCTCGCATTTTGGTGATATTTTGTGGAGGTAAAGAATAAAAAGGAAAATAATTTTAAGAATCCCAAAATTCTAACCTCAAAAGAGTTGTGACTTAAAATATTCTAGAATTCTGCACAATAAACATCTTGTATAACTTGTTTAAAAATTGAGCAAACAAAGCTATTAGAGCTTGTCAAAAATATGTCTATCACCTATCGACTATCTGAATCTTGAAGACAAAAATTTAATATACGATCATCCCTTGGATATATAGTATGATTTTCAGAAACATTTTGATTATATGATAATCATATGAACCAGATAATTCAAACTTACTGGAACCGATTTACTATTATTCTGCAAAAACTAAAAGTATAATTATTTAAATTTATTAAAAAAGCTTTTAAATTATATGCCAAAAGTGTATAAAAACTATTTATGATCATAACTCTACTTACCAAATAGAAGCAGAATCATTTTTATATTCATATTTACTTGTTTGTAGAAATGTGATACCAATAATGAATTATTATCAGTTCAGCTTTATTTCAAACTCCTTAACATCTGGCCTTTAAACGCATACTACTTCTATATATACATATATTGTTCTGTGACGTAATGTATTTTTACATTACTGATAATATATACAGTTGAAGAGCTTGATGCAAGAACCAGTTAAAAAGTTAAAATAATACTAAAACTACTTAGTAACTAAATTAACTTAAAAACCGGCTTGGTCTCTTCTCATTTTTATTAAATATTGAATAAATATCAAAGAATTTTAGGAACATTTTTAGATTTAATCTGCATTAGTGTAGTAGAAGCATGAAAGAGGCTTCACTCTCGAATACGATTCTCAAAATGTTTTAGAAAATTTCGTCAAATTCTTTCACCAAATGTTTAGTTATAGGTCAGGGGTCGGCAAGCAATTTTAGGTGGAGTCCGGATACTTTTGCAGTCACAAATTAATATGAATTACAATAGATAGGCATATTTGTTTGAAATAATTCATGGGAGAAATTACATTTGCGGTCTTGAATCAGTTTTTTTTACTAACCTACTAACCATTAAAAAATGATAAGGGTGGCACTCAAACGTATTGTTATTTATAGAAAAATATATTTTTAAATAATTTGAGTAATTTACTTTCAAAAAATTTTTGGCGGTCCAGCGCGGTCCGAATCTGGACCGCGGTCCACCAGTTGTCGACCGCTGTTATAGATGATGCACTGAATATTTTGTTAAAGCGAAGCACTGGAATTGGAGTATAAACGAACGATGTAGGATTCAATGTTGTTAGGCAATCCGTAAAAGACAGGGTAAAACGAGCACTACGAGTATATGCCAGTATTTGCATAGTGGAAGAACAAAGGACTATTATATTTGATGCACACCTCAATAATGAAACCTAATTTTTTTTGGAGCATTCGGAGGACCAAGCTCAAACAAATTACTGCAAGAGAAAAACTGAATAAATTCCAGATATTGATTTGTATTCGGTCATGACTTCGAATCCAACGCGTCAGGAAAAATAACGACTGGAGGATTCCATCTCATAACTCGGAGCACATGAAGATCATGAATACGGTACTATCGGAACCTATTTTTTTGAAAATGAAACCTGAAAGAATAATGCAGAATTCAACTTTCATAATTTTTTAAAGATTTCAATAGGAAATCAAGGAGAATGGTAGTCGATATATAATGCACTGAGAAAATGGAGCTTAATATGGTTTACGAATGAATCTAAAACAGGCAGTGAAACAGAGATGGAATAGTAGGATAGCTTCATTTATTTATTTAATAATAGTAAAATAATTCCGAAATTGAAATTTTAATTAATATTTCGTTTAACAATAATTTTTGTAACATTTTTGTAAATTAAAAAAAACCACGCCGGACAGTTTACTTAGCAAATACCTTCTCTTTAAAGGGCTCGTGAGTCGTTAATTTTCCACATTTTTCAATGCAATTCACGGGAAATCGTAGTTTACGTTGTGAACTTTATTTTGCGAAAAATTCTTCTTAATATTTATAAACAATTGCGCTACGATTTAAAAAAATTCTTATCTTGGCTCCTATTGGTCGTAGAGGGTGTTTTTTTTCAAAAAAAATTTGTATTTTTTTGCCAGCTATCCATTGAATCTATTTTAGGTGAGGTAGCATAAATAGCAACAATTTTATTCAAATAAGCGGAAAACGCACGATTTTTTAATGCACAGTTTGAGAAAGTTAATGTCAAAAAAACGGTGATATTTTTTAATAGGTCGCTTAATTACATCTTTAAGGTTACAATGACGCTTTCAGAATCATGTTTGGTACTGTACAGAGCCTCCGTTATAAACAAATTGAATTGTGCGAAAACTATTGCACCTACAGCGCCCACGTTTGGCACACTTTTAAAGTATGACAAAACCCTCAACTTGTCGTAGGTTTTATAAAATTTTAACAATAAATGCGATAGTTATAAACAAATTAAAAAATGGGCACTTTTCTTGTTTTTTTGCAATAATTTTTTTGTTTATTACCCGATTTTCATTTTAACATGTCTCATTTTGTAGATAATTTTATTCCCTACAAGCTGTCTGTAAGTCACTTTTCGCTCAAATTGATGGTTTTCCCTGCAAAGTGAAAACACTGTTTTCCTCACTTACCTATTTGTTTAAATAGAAATGTTAGCTAATAAAAATTACTCACGAGATGCGAGATGTCTTGTATTATGTTCCTTTAGACAATTTTACAATAATATCGCGAATAGGAATTTTTTCGAGTTTTTCTTTTTTTTCGCTAATTTTCCTGGTCTAGTAGTGTATATTTAGTATTTACTAATTATCACAACTAACTCATTTCCAGAAAGTTCAATGTTTTCACGAGCATATGTTATGGGGTTATCGTCTAGTTAGTCCAATTTGATTGCTGATGAGTTCTTAAAACAATTATAATAATTATACCGCAAAACATTTTTATTGATTAGTAGGGTGATTAAAAAAACCGCTGACAGACTTCTAGGGTAATACATGAAAAATTAAGACGAAAAGTCATGATAAACATAGAGTCGCAAATGCTTTCTTAACGAGATACAGGGCGTCAAAGACGGGGTCAACGTGACGCCACTGCTAATTTTGTCAAACGGTCAAACTATTTTCGTGTAAAGTGTTCAATTGTCTATCAAATTGGTCTCTTTCAAAATTTTGATTAAAGCAACCATTTTTAAAAAAAACACGTGTGTAGAAAATTTGTGAATCCAATTTTATTTTCATTCATTTTAGTTTCGCATAGTAGGCTTGTGCTATTCAAAATAAAATTACACATCGGCTGTCACTAATGTCAATAATAAGTGTACAAATGAGTTAAGTAAACTAGCATATAAGCTCCTTTTTGTCATTTTACGGTTATTTAAATTACTTCAGCTACTTCACTATTTTCAATAACAGTATGAATTATGAATATTCATTGGAAGAGATGACAGATAAATGCATCTATGTTATGGGCTAGCGAATTATGTTTCCCGTGATGCAATTAGGCAGTACAGAGAAATGTTTCCTGCACGAAGAACACCAAATCGGCAAATGTTCGATAATATCGACAAAAGATTAAGAGAAACGGGTAAATTAAAAGCAACAAAAATTAATTCTGGACGACGGCGTTATGCTAGAACTCCGGAATCTGAGGAAATGGTCCTGACAGCAATAGAAAATAATAATGTGTTAAGTACCCGACAAATTTCTAGAAATTTAAACATATCACAGTCATCTGTTTGGAGAACACTTCGCGAACAACAATTGCACCCTTATCAGTTTCAACATGTTCAACATTTACTACCTCAAGATTACTCACCAAAACTAGAGTGGTCACGATGGCTGCTTGGCAGGCGTGCAGAGATTTCCAACTTTTCCGCGAATATCTTATTCATAGATGAAGCATCGTTAACGAGACGAGGAATAATTAACTTCCACAATAATGATTTATGGAGCGACGAAAATCCTCACGTCATTGGAATAACAAATTTTCAGCATGAGTTTTCAATTAACGGTCAATTATTGGTCCTTTTAGGCTACCAAATAGATCAGATGGCCAGTCTTACCTTAATTTTTTAATGAATGATTTAAACAGCTTGTTAGATGAAGTACTACTGGATGTGCGGAGGAGCCTTTGGTTCCATCATGACGGCGTTTCGCACATTTCGCTCGACAAGTAAGAGATTATTTAAATATGACATACCCTAGACCAAGGGTCGGCAACTAGCGGACCGCGGTCCAGGTCCGGACCGCGGAAGGTAAAATACTGGACCGCCAAAAATTTTTTGAAAGTATAAATTACTCATAAATTATTTAAAAAATGTTTTTTACGTTTAAGTGCCAATTTTATCATTTTTTCTAGTATTTTACAATCGTGCGAGTGCTTTGAGTTCTTAATTAGTAAACAGATTAAATTTGAGTCCAAATTAAAATAAAAAAATAAGAAATATGATTTTTTTTTTGGACCTCTTTAAAAATTTTCAAAAGTATCTGGACCCCACCTAAAATTACTTGCCGACCCCTGCCCTAGACGGTGGATTTCCACATTTGGGGTCATGTTAAGGAGTTGATTTACGTAACTGCAGTAAATTCGATTGATGAATTATGGCAACGAATTCAACAAGTCTTTCAAACAATTCGTAATACGCCCGGGATTTTTTAAAGAATAAGAAGATCCTTAGCTCGGANATATCTTATTCATAGATGAAGCATCGTTAACGAGACGAGGAATAATTAACTTCCACAATAATGATTTATGGAGCGACGAAAATCCTCACCTCATTGGAATAACAAATTTTCAGCATGAGCAGTCTTACCTTATCTATTACCTATTTAAACAGCTTGTTAGATGAAGTACTACTGGATGTGCGGAGGAGCCTTTGGTTCCATCATGACGGCGCTTCGCACATTTCGCTCGACAAGTAAGAGATTATTTAAATATGACATACCCTATAGACGGTGGATTTCCACATTTGGGGTCATGTTAAGGAGTTGATTTACGTAACTGCAGTAAATTCGATTGATGAATTATGGCAACGAATTCAACAAGCCTTTCAAACAATTCGTAATACGCCCGGGATTTTTTAAAGAATAAGAAGATACTTAGCTCGGAGGGTAGAAACGTGTGTCGAATCACAAGGTGGTCACTTCTAGCACCTACTCCGATATTTTCCATTATTTCCAGTTATACAATTCTCATCATTACGTTTTCACCCTTAAATTTGTTGTTTATTGTTTACGTTATTTCATTTTGACAAAATTATTTGAACCTAAATTACTCAAAAACTGTAGCTTTAATCAAAATTTTGCAAGAGACCAATTCGATAGACAATAGAACACTTTACACGAAATTAGTGCCCGTTTGACAAAATTAGCAATGGCATAGAAAACATTTTTAAGAAAGGGCCGCGTTGGCCCCATCTCTACGACACTGCTGCTCATAAAATTTTGAGCAGTACATCAAATATTGGTCTGAAGGTGCTAACTACGCATAGCAAATTTGAAATAGAAATGTTCAGGCATTTTGGAATTATTGCAGACAATGTTTAATTTTACAGAAACTTTGACGCCCTGTATGTCGTTAAAGAGGCATTTGCGACCCTATGTTTATTAAAACTTTTCGTCTTAATTTTTCATGTATTATCTACCCTAGAAGTCTGTCAGCGGTTTTTTTAATCACCCTGTATAAATAAATAAATCAAAGATATCAAGTTGCCACCTGGAATCTAGACAAAATTATTTTTTCAATATTGTATGTATACAATACCTGTATGTAAATAATAACTAAATTCTTGTATAGAATCAAATCAAAAATCAAGGTTCTTGTATAATCTTTGGTTTTTCAATTGTTGTAACTCAAAACTTTTATAATTAACTACACATTTGTACTACTTTCTCAAAAACGCTTTAAACATACGATTCGATAAAAAACTAAAATTCAAATTTACTCGCCTATGATTTAACTGTAATTTCCTGTTATATTTTATTTAACTTTATTATTTAGTACTCACCAATAATTTTTCACCAAGTACCAATAATGCAAACTACAAATTATTACTATTTCATATTTTTCATTCTTTTATATTAATAAAAATACGACCAAAAAATTGTTTGTTATCCCAACTTCTTCAGCAAATATCGACAGATTTAATTCTTTAAATCTACTGTTAGCAATCCCAGTATTATATATTTTTTTTTGTAAAAGTGAACACTTGTATTTAAAACGTATAAATTAAATATTTTTTATAAATAGTAATAAACTACAAACAATAATTTCCAGTTCCGTGTAAATAAAACTGACTTTGCTGCCCCCTGTTAATCAATTGCTGAACTGAACTGAACAGTGAGGAGTTTGCCACCTTTTATGATATTAACAGAAAATAAGCTAATGTGACAAAAGACTAGCCCTTTATTGTTTTGTATATGGAAATTTAAAAAAATATAAATCTAAAACTAATTTGGCGAAAAGCTGCATACTAAACCATGTCCTAACAGCGCCATCTATTAATAGGAAGTTCAACTAAAATCTCATATCACAGTCACAGAATAATCTAACAATCAGAATACTAACTCCCACTTGTCGTGGAAAATATAACCTTAATTTACAAAGCATTCATTATACAGAGTGGAACCTCTAATACTGAGTTATCAATTTTTTCAACAATTTAGGATCATTATCCTAACATTTATTCAGAAAAGGATTTTTTAATGGATTCTAGATCTTGTTAAATGTAATGCAGATAAAGATTTGTTACATTATAACAGTAATAGGTACCAAGAAAAAATATGTTTATTTAATGTTTTTTATTGAAGGTAAAGAACATAAAGTCATGAATTATGAAACAATGAATACTTCTTATTGATTAATGTATTGGTTTCAGTCTAAAATACAGAATTGTTGTTTGTATCAACAAGCACCTTCTGATCTCAATTGTACACCTGAAAAAAAAAGAAAAAAAAATCAGTTGCTCATTTAAACAAAGTAAAATAAATCAGGAGCTAACATTATAAAAAAGAGGTTAAATCAGACAGTATTAAATGTATGCTCAAACAAATGAAATCTTCTTGTAACAGAAACATAACGAAAATAAATTAATTAAAAACCAATGCATTTTCATAAGGTTCTAATATCTAACTGTGGTCAAATCTTCTCCAATAACTCTTGGTGAACACTTGAATAACACTTGGTGAATATGTATGTACTACGATCAACACTAGCAACTAGTCATAACAATATTGGAACATTTTTGTGAAATGGTCTTCAGAACATATGCCGTAATATTGCAGGATTTTGCATAAAAAAATGCAACTCTTTTATTATTATCTTTATTTTCGATAATTGAAGAAAAATCATGCCGGTTAAAGTCAATCAAGCAGGCAATTTAAGCAGTCATTTCTTTAATAATATAGTTATTAAACTCTTCCCTAAAAACAGCCATATTATTGCTATGCAAGGTTCAGACATTGTTAGTAGAAACAGTGGACCATGTTTATTTAACTGTTTCAAGTTGCCTTTCAGTCTTTCAGAATCGAAATTCCAAATTTACTATTTAGAAGTAGGTAGGTACTGAAAATGATAAGAAAAAGCTATATAAAATACTCGAAAGCTTTATCAACAACTTACGGATATTTCCACATAACATACATCTATGAGGAAGCTTTTAGCTAGTAGTTAAATACCTATGTTAAAATACCTTCGCTTTTCATCTGATGTAAGTTACATCATATAACATTCGAATACATCTTCTTTTGTGAAAGACAAAAAAGTAATCAATAGGAAGACTTTGATGATATTACGGAAATAGTGCGAAGGCAGTACTTCCCATTCAACAAAACCTGCTTCAGGCATCAACATTAGTCCATAATTTCCAATAAGGAATACTTTTAAAGTGACATTTAACAGACACACAGATATTGATATAGTTCTGGTATCTGGTATGTAGACTCGTAATAATTTCTACAATAATTATTAATTCTTCTAGGTTTATAAGAGAATCTAATAAGTGGAATGCTCTATATCTTAAGCATCTTCATTCTCCATAAGATGCAACTGCATCAACTTTATAAATGTTATGACATTTCAGTTTCAGGAATCAATTATCATGTAATAAATTTTGTTCTAATCAATAGTAGGTGCATCAGTTGTCATTACGAACATCATTATTTTTTGAGCAAGCGGGGAATATTTATTTTATTTTTAATTATCTCATATTTTGTACTTACTACCGCCACAACGAATTGCACAGTTCAGCTTTCCCATGTTAAAGTAAGTTACTCCGTCGGTACCACAGACAGGATTATATTGAGACGTCGAAAGACAATTCCTTATACATCTGTTATAAGCTGGTGAAGCTGTAGTTGTAGTAGTTCCAGCAGTTGTTGCAGAAACAGTAGTAGTCGCCTGTCGAACTACTCTTGAAGGGGAACATGATATTCCCAAAATTAGAGTTACTGAAAATACAAAAAAATAGATATATCAATTTTGTTTGCAACGGGTTTTTAAGGCTGAATATTTTTACTTTGAATATAAATTGTAAACGCGAGGAGAGGGTAGTCTACATAAAAATTATAAAAAAAATTCGGACAAAATATGTATTATTGAAGAGTTTGGTGCAATAAGTGATTAAGTCCTTTTTCTAAAAGTGTGGGAATATTGAAAAAAAAACTATTTAGTAGCTAAATGAATATTATATTAATTTATGTTTTAGTTAATTGAATATCAATTACATAAATAGACATATCAAAAAGACCACACCTGAATATGTTTCACACAATATTTTTAAACGTTAAGCAACTCAGACAGCACAAATCTAATTCTAACTCAATTAATAATCCTGCTATATAAAACACCCTCATATGTGTTTATACCACTGCTCTACATGTGGTACATATTTTTCAGCTAAAATATGATCAAATGTTAACTTTAATTCTATGTTATTATTTTAAGACTCAATGGGAAAAATATTATGTCTCCCTTTCAGTTTTTTTTTTCAAAGAAAGAGAATAGTAGCAGCATTAACTCAGGAACAGCTTTTAAATTATTTTTAATTTCTGATTATTGTGCATTAGATATTATCTATAAATGTAATGATAGTTTTAAAAATGTAAATAAATTATTTTCATTCTGTATCAAAAAGTTTGATAAGTATTTCTCCCATACGTTTAGAAAGATAAGATATAATTTAGACTTGCATTTTTGCAGTTGGAGAAAAAGGTCTATGAGTCAAGTTTTGTGACTATATCTTTAAAATTATGTAGATAAGTATATAAAAAAACAATTAGTATTCGATACGCCAATTGTAGAGGCAAGTAGGCATTAACAAGATAATCACTCTAATTATCTGTAAACTAGTATTCTATTTATATGAATCATATTTTTATTTAGATTTTAATTACATATTATGAATATTATTATTTATTGCTAGTCTTTATATCCAACCATCCAATTATTGAAAAACAAATTAAATATATACATATCAGAAACTTTTTAAACAACCCTTTTTAATATATTTTTTAAATAAATATCATTTAATTGATACATATGTGAAACCTGGGAAAAATACATATAAATAAAATCGTATGCAACAACGATTACATGATTGTAGCAATATCATGTATTTTAAGTTATATACATCATAACTTTTCTTTGTTGGTATTTTGCCATAACGCAAATTAATATAATAAATAAATAAATAAATATCTACTTAATAATTTAAAAATAGTACACATGCTTAATATGAAAATATCCATAATAACATTAGGATAATTTTGATATAACTATCAATAATATTATAATATAAACTTATATAAAAAAAAGCGAAGCGAAAACTATTATTATTCAAAATCTGAAATAAAACCTTTTTATGAATACTAAATCTACTTACCGAATAGAAGAAGACTCAATTTTAGCGACATATTTTACTTAAATAAAATTTAATCCAAAAAGAACGATATTTATCAGTTCAACTTAATTGTAAGCCACTTAACATTTAAAATCTGGCCTTTAAACGGATACTGCTTTTATATATTGTTCATTGACGTTCCTATAAAAATTTTTTGAGGGGGGTAAACTTCAATTATGCATGATTTAAAATAAGAAATGGTAAATAAAAAAACAAAGATATAAGAAGGGGGGTTTTCATTGTTTAAAGACTAGTCAATTTCAATTGACAATGTTGCTATTTTGACTATGTATCCAAAATTCATATCAAGGAAGACATTTAAACATACTCTATGTATGTATATTCGAAATTGATCACTTATTCTAAGAACTGAGAGTATAACAGCAGATTATTGTATCTACATAAAAATTATAAAGTCGACTTCACTTACCAAACAAAAACAGAAAAATTTTCATATTCATATTTCACTAATTTATCCACAATAATTAAAAATCACTTAACTATACTACTAGGTTGTTACCGTTCTTATACAAGTTTAATCAAAGGGTTTTGGGAATACCTTTATATTGTAAATTGGAATGTTAAGCAGCACAAAATACGAGTGAAATTACGAAATATCCACAGCAGCAATTATTAGAACTAAATCAATTATAGAAATTCCAGTACTTACGTAAATTGGAAGAAATTTTAGTTTACTTGGCTACTACGAAAGAGATAAGTCGGAAAAATAATTGACCCGCAAAATATTTTTGCCGATAATAAATCCTTGAACGTAAAAATCTTCTAAAATAGAAGTCACATTTTGTTATTCTTAAAATAAACATAAAATAGTGTAAGTGTAGGTATTATAAGTTATAATTCTTTAGTTTTGAGATTTTATTACGAAACGAATAACTATTTATTCCCCAAATTTATTTCTCTTTAGAGCATATTCCACAATACAAGTAAACTTAAAGTGTAAGATAATTTGAAAAATTAGGACAATAAATTTCAGGACACTTTCAAACTAAAACAACTACTTTTGTGTGTACTTAATAAAAATATACCTACATATAAGAACAATATAATTCAATATAAACGAAAATAGTTATTGAGGTCGAAAGGAGGTGTTAGAAATGTATGTAAAATTTATTACAAAACATTGAATCGTTTTATAAAAAAATATTAATATGGTACACTTATATGCAAAATCAGTATCCTACCCTGAATATTACTAGTCAAAGTTGATAAATTACTCGTAATAGAATTAACATTCATTTTAATAAAATTATGCGTTTCATTCGTCATGTTTTTAAATCAATTAATAAAAAGTTCATTTTACCAAATTGCAAAAAAATATAATGAAAAAATATATATCTATACAATACATAAATTACATCCAAAACATCAATGAAATCTGTACGATCTACATTTTTTCTTAACTATGTTATTTGCCGAAAATAAGACATTCATTCTGTTCAGTGCAAGTTTTCTCCAATTTTGATTGTTGTCATTTGAACATGAGTTTATTATTTAAATTTTCAGTTTTATTATACTGTAAAAACTTTTATCCTCATCCAATTTTTGAGAAGAATATTAGCTATAGATTTTATTTTCAACTAAAGATAGAAGTTGAGAAATATAGTAACATTTTTTTAATATTAATGATTTGTCATTTTGAAGCAATTTGAATTAGATAATATTAATTTTTCAAATATTTAACACTGCTTTACATTAAATGCATCATATTGTTGTATTACTTATACATTTCCTTCATCCGAAATTTGAAAAATTATGGTATTTTTTTTTCAATACGCCACTGGACTAAATAAGAGAATTTTAAATTGCCATTATTTTATAGCTAAACCAATAATTGCATTATGATTACAGACTTCTTTACAACAGAGATAGAAAATAATTGCAATTAATTATATTTAAAAGTCATAATCGATAAAATTATGTCATGATAAAATTGTCTCCAACACACAATTTATTTAGTAATAAAATTGCTCTTTTTCAAGATGTATTCTAGAAATTGTATTATGGCATAATTTCTAACAATGTTAACACTGTAAAGAGGAACAAGGAAAAATTATAGTGCAGACTACTTTAAACTTGTAAACACCATTTTTAAAACATTTTATAACAAGATTTTAGTATTTCAATATGTTAGCATCTAGTAAATTTTTGCGTAGCGACTTTTAAAAAAATTGTTAATAGTTTCCTAAAAGCGTTCTGCGGGATGTGATAATATTTATAGTACTGTATGCTATTTTATGTATGTTCAACAAGTGTGCAAAATTTAGGAAACGTAAGATATGAGATAAAAATATGTTTTTTGTGTGTTCTTTATTTTGAATGTATTTTCACTTGTCTTATATTCTGAATAAAATTTATATAACTGGTGCAGTGAAGTCTAACTTGCTTACGTTTTCTAAAATCCTTTACAAAAAATTGAACATATAATACCAACACCCTTCTTAAACCTATTGCGGATTCTTATAGCTATCTGCCCTACATATTTTTGTATGCAATGTTTACCTATAAATTCAAAAAGAAGAGTAGCCCTCTCTTATCAGTTGTAACAATATTTTTTTAAACTTACCTTATATCTAAGGTTACCTACACAAACTCAGTCGACATAGGTGGGAATTTCTAAATTCGCTTATGTCAGGGTTTCTCAACCTCTCTCAATGTATAACAAGATTGTAATACATTTTTTATATTCGCTTCACCTATGACAGAAAATATCAAGTTTGTTTCTCCTCTTCGACCTTACATATATAACAGTATTTCAAAATGATAGATTACTTTAGTTGCAATGTCTTGGTTATACACCTATTGTTTTAAGAAAATTAAATAAATTA